AGCGCACGCTGAAACGCCAACACCTGCCTTAACGCATCTCGCAGGCACAGGCAGAGGAGCTCACCCTTCCCAAACGCCGACCCTCTGCGCTGCGCAGATGTGCCAGTGCTCGTAGCTCAAGCACACGGCAGCGTTAGCCACCCAAGCCAAACCTACGGAGATAAACTGTTGCATCCCTCAGCCCCCATTTTATCTAGCTTACCTAATCTTAGAGATGATCCAAAAACCCTACTGCATCTCGCAGGCACAGGCAGAGGAGCTCACCCTTCCCAAACGCCGACCCTCTGCGCTGCGCAGATGTGCCAGTGCTCGTAGCTCAAGCACACGGCAGCGTTAGCCACCCAAGCCAAACCTACGGAGATAAACTGTTGCATCCCTCAGCCCCCATTTTATCTAGCTTACCTAATCTTAGAGATGATCCAAAAACCCTACTGCCATCTACTTTCTCTTCCCTTCAGGACCTTTTGTGAGAAGCGTTTTTTTTTCTCTCTGGAGTTTCACCTGCCTTGGCTGCGCAGCCTGGATCCACTGCTCAGCAGACAGCCCTACAAAACACTGCCTCTCGGCAGGCTGCCCACCCCCTCCCACCACCCGAGGACCACCTGCAACGGCCAGCCAGGCAAATGCTACAAGAGATGGTGGGACAGGGGACACCACCCCCCCCAGTTACACCAAGTTTGGATGCAGGACTGAGGGCAGGCGAGAACATGCTCTGGGATGCCCTGGTGTGGCAGAGGAGACCATGTGCTGGGAGAGGAAGGTCCACAAGTCACAAGCCACGTTCGGCTTAGTTTCCAATCCTTCAGCATCGATGATGCTCCAGGTTAAGAACAAGGCAGTCCAGGCAGCACTGGTGCCACACACAGCCCACTGAGGGTCAGTGGCTCCCAGAACAGGTATCTCGCCACTGTCCCATCTGCCAGTCCCACCTGGCATGCCCAAGGGATGGGAGTGCCCCATGGGAGGTCCCCATTGATGTGGGGGTCTGGCGGAGGATACCCTCAACCTCAAGCCGTGTGGCACCCGCAGCAGCACAGGGAGACCCCACACCCGGCGAAGCTGTAGAAAAGGAAACCGTCTCATTTAATGACCCCTCGCCCCCGTAACACAGACGCGAGCGCACCGCTGACGTGCGGCAAAGCAAAGTGCACGGTGAGTGGGACTCGGCCCCTGCCCCAGAGGAGCAGGGGGAGCTCGGGGTGCCCGGCATGGCAGGTGGACCAGCCATGTTCCCGGCCAGCAGCGAGGACAGAGAGAGCCCTGGGCTCGATCCAGTTGGCACCAGTGTCAGGTCCAGTTTGCAGGGAGGTACGGCTCTCATTCGGCTCTGTGCGGTGCAGGGAGGGCAGTGGGCAGGTCAAGCGTACCAGGACGGAGGCCGGAGGAGGTGGGTCTGGGGGGGCCTCAGGACAGGTCCTGGAGAACACCGCTGTGGCAGGTTTGGAGCCTCCCTGCCCAAA